GTGGTTCCCCTGCCAGGATGAAGATTTTGTGCAGCTACTTATTTTTTGCAATATGTTGCTGGCAAGGTGAGCGCACGATTTCCCAGCTTTTTAATTTCCTTTACTCATATTCACACCTATGTGTCTATGTCGTTGTGGATGTATGTTTACCGTCGTCGTTTTTTTATATATAAATGAGGAATTCTTTCCGTTTCTCTCTCTTTTTACCTTGTTATATGCTTCCTTCTACCTTCCCCCTTCCTCTCTAACCCTTACTGTGATGGTAAATGCTTTTTCTCGCTGTCATTCCTTCTTTTGCTCTTATTCTCCCTTTCGTTCTCTCTCTCTCTCTCTCTCCCTCCTTCCCCTCCACTAACGAATATATAACGACCCCACCTAACCTCTCTGGCCCTCCAGCGCCGGCCGAGAGAGCCTTCTTCTTCCAGCCCAACAACGAACTCGTGACGACCTCCCTGGCGTTGCTGAAGCTGGACAGGGGCTCCGAAGTGATGAGTGAACTGACGGTGTGCACGTGGCTCCAGGTTCATCACTTCAGGGAGAAGACCTACGTGTTCTCCTACGCGACCTCGGATCGAGACAACAACGAACTGAATATGGGGATAAGTACGTTTGTTGTGGGGATGGATTGTGTGGATGTACGTTCTTGCGTGCCTACACATGTGGAGGAACTTGCAAACACTCACGGACATTCACACACACACATGCACATACACACGTGAGAAAGAGAGACAGAAAGAGAGATGGCCGGCTTTTTTCTAATTGCACCGATGGGCCACCTATAGTTGGTTTAAGGTTGTCCTGCGTGAGGGTGACTTACATAGGTTTTGTCATAATTCACATAAAAACACACTGCATCTTTCACGTAAATTCACAAACGAGTTATCAACTGTCTTAGAGATTATGAGGATCAGGTATGGACCAATGAAAAAATGAAAAAAGACGGACATGGTACTATCTGGCACTACGAGAGTATTGTTGGGACATCAAATTTAGACAAGCCCTATAAAGTCTATTACGGACTGTCTCGGAGACAACAGGTTACATTAACTAGGCTACGCATAGGATATCAGTACACTATACAATATGTACAGGATGCAGTTTTGGGTGCAAAACCTGTTTCATATCACCATTGCAAACTGTGCAAGGAACCCAAGTCGCATAATCTCACTCATTACTTACTCTGCTGCATAAAGACTGCATCCTATCGATCAAATAGTACTGTTCACAGTGTAGTGGATAATCAAAACTCCGTAGAGTTAAAGATGTTAATTTGGTAGCGTGTTATCCAACTACAGGTAATCTCCAATGGGTTTGGCGTATTTCGGAGATGACTCTCGGGTGATTTGAAAGTGATCCCGTAGTCACAATAAAAGAACACTAAAAGAGAACATCACTGGCTGACTAAAAAAAGGCAACATAAAAAGAGCATCCATATTATACATTTATTATGCACAAATCTTTCTGAACATAACCAATATACACGACAACACACCATACACTTACTTGACACACAGAGGCAACCCGCCACAGCACGAGAAGCACCAGTCAGCCAGCTAAAAATCCAACGATCTGTCACCACACAAGATAAAAGCCTCTCCCCCTGACCGTTCTGGCTTGCCCTTTTATGCTGGTGGCTTCCAGCATAAAAGCAAATAAACACAGGAAAAACAGGAAAACCACGTCATCTTGCAGGGCGGAGGAGTCCGTTGATTATCTATAGACAACCGTAACGTCAGGGGAACAGGCGGCCCGGAAACCTGCGGGAGGACCCGCCTGAAGCCAAGGGAAATTCACTACACACAGAATAGCGCTTGTTGATTATATTAACTTTATTATAGACACTGGTCTTGTCTTTGACATGATTAGTGATGTAAAAGGTTTTTTACCAGTCAGATGATATTTTAATATTGTGATAATAGAACAGCCCTTCAGGCATGTATGTAACACTAATGTTTGACCAATGGCCATCTACACAAATAGAAGCACAGCCAGTTTGGATAGATGCTTTGGTATCTTACCCTGGCTTTTTGCAGGGCATGTACACTGTTCTGTAAATAAATGTTATCAAATCAAATCAAATCTCACACACACACACACATACACACACATACACACATGTATATATATATATACACACACATGTGTATATCAAATATAATATTTATAGTATATATAATTCATATATATACAATATATATATATATATATATATATATATATATATATATATATATATATATATATATATATATTATGTATATATGTGTATATATATACATAAACATATATACATATATATACACACATATGAGCGTGTGTGTGTGTGTGTGTGTGTGTGTGTGTGTGTGCGCGTGTGTGCTTCTGTAATATATATATGTATAACATATATAATTCCTATATATGCATATATATATATATATATATATATGTATATATTATGTACATATGTATATATACATATATACATAAATATGTATACATATATATGTACACACACACACACACGCACACACACACACACACACACACACACACACACACACACACACACACACACACACACATATATATATATATATATATATATATATATATATATATATATATATATATATATATGCGTATACGTATAATTACATATATGTGTATGTATATGTATATATACATACATACTTATATATACATATCTTTGTGGGTGTGTGGGTGTGTGTGTGCGTGTGTGCGTGTGTAATACATATATATGTAACTAAGTTAAGTTAAGTTAAGTAAGTTTATTTACCACCCTGGCTATCTGCTCAGGCGTGGGCAATCATGATTACAGCTTTACATATATCTGTCACAGTACAGTAGTCTGTGACTACTGTAATAGTACATGGTAATATAGAAATATGTCATACATCATACAAAAAATAATACGTTAATATGCTCTTGCCACTGTGCTTACATAACACTGTGTTTTTGTTTACGGCAGCTTTACATAGTAAATTTTGGATATAATACAAGTATATCTTCCAGTGTATCAGATGAAATTAAATATTCATATAGTTCTCTATACCTCATGTTAGGTGGTCTGAAAGGCTGTATCACATGACATTCCGATATATAATGCTCAAGCGTTCGCTTGTTTTCTTCGTTACACAATCTACATTTAGATTCATCTGCATTTCTTGCACCGTGCAGTTGCCAATACATTCTGTAACCTAAACGTATTCTGGCAATAACCACGTCACATTGTCTGGTTCGACTTCGGTGCCACCCATAGGAGGGCTTGCTATCTCTATACTGATCGTAGTGCCTTATGGTACAGCTTTCAGGCCTTTGAGTGTTCGTCAGATCTACTAGTTCTTCTTTGTGAGAACTTTTCAATATATGTGCAACCCTAGCAAGAGGCATCCCAAGATCTATGTTCACAGTGTCTTTGCTGCAGGCTTCCTTCGCCAATTTGTCTACGTGGTCGTGCTTGCTTATGCCGACATGAGATGGTAGCCATACAAATTGAATGTTGAAATTGCGCTCTATTGCACAAGTTACGTTACGCTTAATGCAACTTACAATTTCCTCATCGCCACCTGCTTTGAAAGAATTTAGTGTCAGAGCACTCTGAGAGTCACACAAAACTACTCCAGAGCCCCGAGACATTAAGAATTCCGTTGCAAGGAGTATACCTGCCAGCTCCGTTTGTGTAGTGCTGGCCCAATTGTGCACTCTCATATTAACTTGATGTTGTAGTGAGCCATTTTTGTATACAGTACAAGTACAACCAGCTTTGTATCCAGACTGTACGGATCCGTCAACGTAACACTCGTATACATCATCGCCCATAGACTCTGTGTGTTCCTTTACCGTTACTAATGCAATTTGTTTTAACACGCAGTTATGTACACTGTTTTTTTTGTGGTAGGCACGTAAGGTGCACGATCAATTGTGATTCTTTCCATGGTGGAATGGATCGACCCTGTGGTATTTTACTAATTGGGACATTGAGCTTTGTAATGTTCATGGAAATTTTGTGTATTAGAGGGCGCTCGTGTGTGTGATTAGTCACGTCTGCTTGCGTGATTTTGTGCTGCAATTGTTTTTGGAAGTCTGAGAGATACAAGGGTTCCCTCAGAGCTTTGACCCCAAATATAGTGAAAATGAACATTATTCTATCAGAGATGGATGGTAGGTTAAGTTCTGACCTCATGTTCACTATCCTTGCTGTTCTCGGGGCGCCGAGGATAATCCTCATTGCTTCATTTTGCACTACCTCCAAGCTATTTATTTCTGGTTCCTTGCACTGCAACAAGTGCAGTGCATGGTAGTCTACAACTGATCTTATAAAAGCCAAGTAAAACAGTCTAGCGAGCTTAACATTGATGCCATGTTCTCTTCCAACAAGGACTTTCAACGGTTTCAGTCTCTCCCAGTCTCTTTTTCAGAGAAAGGATCAGGTCTGCATCATTTATGTTCACCCCGAGATATTTATATTTATGACACATGTCAAGCTCTTGGTCACCTATGCGATAAGTGGGTAGGGGTATGATACATGGATTGAGAGCCATTGTTTTCTCAGCGGATATGACTAATCCACACTCATGAGCCCTAGTTGTGAGTTTGTCGAGAATTATTTGCATCCTCTCTTGTGATGATGCTTTGACGCATATGTCATCAGCATAGCATATAATGGATTCCCCATCCCCAAGTCGAATATCTGCCACCAGCTTGTGCATGAGGACATTGAACAACATAAGACTGAGAACTCCTCCCTGTGGCGTCCCAAGTTCAAAAGATTGTGAAGTGGAACTTCTCACACCCCTGAACAAGACACTTGCAGATCTGTTCGACATATACATTCTAATCCAGCTCAATAATTTACCCCGGATGCCAAAGCTTACTAATTGTTCTAGGATAATTTCTCTGTTTGCAATGTCAAAAGCTGACTTAAGGTCAAGAAAAACAGTGTGCTTCCCTGGATTAGAGTTTGAATAGTACTCTGCAAAGCAATGTTGTGTGCTACGTCCTGATAGAAATCCGTACAGTCTGTGAGATAATTTACCTTGCAACCTGTACCTGAGTCTGTTCAAAATTATCCTTTCTAGAACTTTGCATACACATGAGGTTAGTGAAATTGGGCGGTATTTATCAGTGTTTGGTTTCGGTATAGGGATGATTAGACTGCGCGTCCAGAGGCCAGGCAGAATACCTTGTGACAAACTTAACCTGCACAGGTGCAAAAGGGGATTACCAGGTACCTGAGCTATAAGGCGGAGGACACTATAGGTAATTCCATCCTCACCTGGTGCAGACGCTTTTCCTTTGATCAGTGCATTGTCCAGTTCCCACTCAGTAATCTGAGTCGCACTCAGAACATCCAATCTCAATGGCAAATTTACGTGCAATTTTAGTATGACTAAGGTGATTCTGAATATTTGTGGGAAGTGAGCTCAATTTGGACGCTCCAGCCCATTGACTAAGGAGCATGTCTGCTTGTGCAAGAGGACTATGGAACTGCGGGGTGTTAGTTGGTTTGCCTGAGAGTCGATTGATTTTTTTCCAGACCTCAGACATTGAGGTGTTGTTATTAACGCTTTGAAGGAACTGTTCAAAGTGTTCTTTTCTGAAATGAGTTTTTATTTCCCGTAGATTTTTGTTAGCTTTAAGAAACTGAATAAGATTGTCACGGGTATTGTCCTGCTTGTACATAGCAAGAAGCTCCTGAACTCGCTTTTGTTCCCTTAATAGTGTAGGGTCACTGACCCACTTAGGTTGTTTTAGGCGTTGTGAATTGTTGCTTTTAGAGGTTTTCTTTGGACAGACCCAGGTGTTGTAGTAATCAGTGACCACTTTTGTCATGTCCATGGAGAATTTATCAACACTCGTTACTGTGTAGTCGTTATACCAGTCATGAATACGTGCTTTAAAGTGGTGCTCAAGGTAAGGAGGAATAGAAATTTTGAGCCTATTCGTTTTTGCAGATAGACTATTATCAGCAGCGTATCTCGTTACTATTGCAAAGTGGTCACTGATTAACTCTGTTGCAAGCATGCTGCTGACGTTTCCATGCACAAGATCCCTTCCTATTACATAATCTAGCCTGCCCCCCGCCACGTGAGTTTCCCTGTCTGTATCATATACGGTCATGGATCTATTGTTCACAAAATTTCGGAACTCTTCGCCGTTTTCATTGCATTGACTGTCTCCAAATGTATAGTGTCTAGCACTGAAATCCCCCATGCATATTGTGCCGTGTTTCTGAAAGCTAGGCAGTGAATCAGTTTGAAACTTTCTACACCTTGCGTATACATTGTACAGAGAGAAAAACCCAGAGGCTGTTCGAATATGTAAATGCTGATATTGCACATTATTGTCATCAGACTTCTGCACCAGCTTATGCGGTATGGTGTCACTGACGTAAGTCAAGAGGCCTGTCATTCCTGTGTTCGTATAGGAGTGGTACTCTCTAATTCTAGGGGCGGTTTTTATTTTTGTGGCTGATGTGAAGGGCTCTTGTAGACAGATAATGTCAACATTATTGTTATGAATGTAATAGAGCAAGTCATTAATTCTACGGTTGACACCACGTATATTCCATGAGAGAAACGTAATTATTTTCTTGTCCCCCATCATACCCTATGATTGGCTGATTGGTCAATTTTATGTTTGATTAGGCTCTTTAGTCTGGAAATTTCTTGCACAGCATTATATATCTGTGCTGCATCTTGTTTGTTTACACCGAGCCTACGCGCTTTCCTCATATTTATATTATACGTATAATCCGTACCTGATATAATTTTCTGAGTAGCGTCCCACAGTTCATCCGTTTCCTGCATATCTCCATCGATGTTGTTCTCACTGTTAATGTCGTCACCGTTTTCAGATGATTTGTCGATGGTATCTTGCGTAATACCATTATCAGAGCCCTCAATCGTATTTTCGACATCACTAACAACATCACTATCATCATTACTAAGCATATTTTTTTCCTTGTCCACTGCCCGATCACTTTTTATTTCCATAATCATTTTTCTCATTTCAACAAGCTCTTGCCTGATACTTTCAATATTATTTTCAACATGACTAACATCATTAGAAGGCATATTTTCTCTGCCTACTCCCCAGTCACTTTTTATTTCCATAATCATTTTTTTTTCATTTCAGCGAGTTCTTGCCTGAAACTTATTTCCTCAATCACTTTCTTGTTCATCGCTGGTCACTCCTGTGACGGCACTGTTTCCCGGGACGGGGAATCCCCCTGGCAGTTGCGGGAATTCCTGTGGGTCAGTGACGTCACACGGCACTGAGTGGGTCGTGGCTGGGGTGGGCATCGCCACTCCGCGGTCGATGGGTACGGTCGGGGCAGCAGGGGGGGGGTGCGCGTGGCGGTTTGTGGGGGCAGTTGCGGTGCCAGGCCGCCACGCCTTGCTCCCCGCACCTGACGCACCTCTTCACGATGCTAACGGTGTCGCTGTTGTCGTTGTCTTTTACATTTTTTCTTGCAGGACATTCCTTCGTCCGGTGAGCGTCCGCACAAACAGCACAGGCTGTTTGTTCCCTGCAGTATTTTGCTACATGGCCATAACCCTGGCACTTGTAGCAAACCACAGCATCTGAGCTCCACGGTCTAATTGAGCTCGGTTCAGTGCATCGTCCAAAGAAGTGGTACTCTTTGGGTGGCGGATATTCTCCGCTCCATACAATAATAATCCTATTGAGGGGTTGGCCGTCCTTGTAGATTTTCCGAGCTTTAAAAACACCCGGAAGATGTAGTGCTTCTTCTGCGGCGACCTCTTTCGGAAACCTGGTAACCAGGTATTCCCCGTATTTTTTGCTTCTTGGTCGATAGTCGTCCTTGATCTGAAGAGAGATTCCTGCTATGGTGCCCTTTACCATGAGGTCCACGTATTTTTGTTGTTCTCGGCTTACATAGACGTAGCGAGAGGTTATCCATTTCCCCTGCACCATGTCTAATGGACCTTCCCCTTGGAGGGGCAGCAGCTGGCTGAGCTCCCTCATCTACTTTATTTTGTCTATGGCTGTCGTATCCTCCGGAAAGGCCAGTCTAATGTACTTTTCAATCGGGGCGATGGGTTCACGTTTTTTGGTCTTTACTTCAGTTGCATCATCGGCGGTCATGTTGTTGGTGTGGTGTTGCGACGTGGTCTTTATTGTCTTCCTCCTATTCTGAACGATCTGGAATCCCTTGTCATCCACAACGGGGGCGACAGGCGTATCCACACCGTTCATTTCCCTATGTTCAGTGAGATCAATCCCCTCCTTAGGTTGGGGGGATGAGGGGCTGGTAGGTGGCGATGCGGGGGCCCCGAGCACGTCCCCCTCCCCCTCCATGATGGGACAGCGAGGAGATGGTTGTCCACTTCTACGGTGATTAATTCCCTGCGGTCGGGCGCGGGGAGGGTGCGAGCGCCAGGTCAAGTGCTGTCACACATACACTCACCAGGTCTCGTCAACGGTCGTCCGTACAGCACCCTGTTACCCTGGCACTACTCAGTATTCGTAACTTTTACTAAACACTGTTGTTTCTAGATGCCTTGACCATTGTATCTAGCACAATTTGGTGAGTATATACCCACACACAGTCTGGGTATAAGGACAACCCAGGTGAGGGGGTTTATCCCCGTAAAATCGTCCAAAAACACAGGAGGAATCCTGGTGACATCCTGCCTTGGTGTTATTAGGCTTTGAACTGATATATGTAACATATATTTCATATACATATATATATACATATATATATGTATATATATATATGTATATCTATATATATATATATATATAAATATAAAGAGATAGATAGATAGATAAATACATAGATATATATGTATGAAACATAACATCTCTAATAATATATTATATATGCATTCACACACACACATATACATATACATACATATATATATATGCACACAAACACACACATATATATTCATAAATGTATACATACATACATACATATGTATATATGATATATATATAAATATAAATATATAAATGTGTGTGTGTGTATATATATATATATATATATATATATATATATATATATATATATATATATATATATATATATATATATGTAAATGGCGTGACGAAATTTGGGGGCCAAGACTGGAAACAAAAAAAAAGCTGGAAAATATCGGGAGAAGCTTACGTCCTGCAGTGGAATGATTCAACCTGATGATGATGTGTATGAATATGTATATATATATATATATATATATATATATATATATATATATATATATATATATATATATATATATATATATATAATATGTATATATATATATATATATATATATATATATATATATATATATATATATATATATATATATATATATAATATGTATATATATATATATATATATATATATATATATATATTCATATGTGTATTGAATATATAGATATACATATATATACAGTATATATGTATATCCATATATATATATATATGTATTGAAGTCTTGGGAGACTTCAATGGTCGGCATCACCTCTGGGGAGATTCTGTGTGCAACCTTCGCAGAAGGGCCTTGGAGTCCTTGTTCTCAAGAGTAGATGTAGTTTTACTGAACAGTGACGTACCCACACATTTCCAAATTCAAACTGAGACATTCTCCAATATTAACCTGTCAGTTGGTTTACCTGATTCACAGTTGAATTTCACTCTTCAGGTCACAGAAGACTTACATGGAAGCGACCACTTTCCATTATTTTTGGAAGAGGTGAATGGTATTCCAGCTAATGGAGTGCAGAGATGGTGACTTGAACATGCAGGCTAGAATCTTTTTAGATCAACTGCAATATTGCAAGACTCTGTGAATGATTTCCAGTGTGTTCAAGATGCTGTTAATGACTTAACATCACAAATTCACCTTGCAGCAGAAGCATCAATCCCCAAAGGTACCGTCAACCTCCAGTACCATGGTGGTCTGATGAATGCCAACAAGCTGTCAGAGCAAGAAAAGCTGCATTAAGGCAGTTGAAACGACGCCCAAGTGAAGTAACCTGATCCACTACAAAAAGACCTGAACCAAGGCCAGACGAGTGCTAAAGGAGGCTAGACGGACATCGCGGAGGCAGTATGTCTCCTTGATTAATTGAAGATAGATGGCATAATCCTCACAGACAAAATAGATGTTGCAAATGAGCTGGCAAAATCCACGGCAGAGATCTTCTCTGGAGCATCTTACACTGCCCGATTCTCAGTAGCACTGCAGCAGTACTTCCAGAACTTCCATTTTTGCGCAAGGAGATGGACTCTGTTTTGCAGCACTGATGGAGAAAATGGTAAACTTCAGGTTGACATGGCTGCTAGAAAAGGAAAACGTGCTGACCCCTTATCAATATGGGTTTAGAAAACTGAGATCGACCACAGATGCACTTGTGAGGATTGAAACTGCTAAACAGAATTCCTTTGCACAGTGACGTCATATGTTAGCAGTCTTCTTTGGCCTTGAAAAGGCTTATGATACTACTTGGAAGCATGGCATACTCATGAAACTGTATGACATTGGTTTAAGAGGAGCATTACCTACCTTCATACAAAGCTTCCTTGCTGACAGGAAGTTTAGAGTGAGGGTGGGAAACAGCTTCTCTAACCTGGAAGACCAGCTGGAAGGAGTCCCACAAGGGAGTGTCTTAAGTGTGACCCTGATTGCCGTTGCTATACATGACATTGTGGATGTGGATGACTTTACACTGTACTGCTCAGGCTCAGGAGGAAGCTTACAGGATGCGCAAGTACACATGAAGACTGCAACAAATCAGGTTGTGCAATGGGCAACATACCTTGGGTTCAAATTTTCTCCAAGCAAGACATGGCTATGCATTTCTACAAACGAGGAAAGTTCCATCCTTCCCTCTGTTTAGGAGCAAACCCACTGCATTACCTGCAAAGGTAAAGTAATTGGGTCTAATTTTTGACTCAAGGCTTACATGGGTGTCTCACATTATACAGTTAAAGGTGAAAGCTATAAAACACTTAGTAATTTGCAGGTTCTTTCACACCTACCTTGTGGGTGCAGACGGCACAACGCTTTTGCGAGCACGTATTCATAGTAAACTTGACTATGGATGTGAGGCTTATTCATCTGCAACTCCCACTGTTCTCCGTATGTTGGACTTGGTTCATAATGAAGTTCTTAGAATCTGCATAGGGGCTTTCAGGTTTTCACCTGTGGAGTTCCTGTATTCTGAGAGTAGAGAACTACCTCTTTCATTACACCGGGACTCCAAAGGAAACCGGGATCTCCTACATCCAGATGAGTTTTCAACCCCATTGAAGACAGCCGATCCTATGGTAGGAGAATGAGGAATCTTGTGGAAGATCTTAATTTAAATCACACAAAGTCCCAAGTCCCCCCTTGGACTAATCAAGTCGAGCTGGATTTGGTCGGAATTGGGAAAGGGAGAGATCCGAAGCAGAAGTCAGAAAGAGATTTCTTCAATACACTTCTAAGTACCAAGGATCATATGCAATATATACAGATGGTTCGAAATCTGAAAATGGTGTGGGCTTTGCAGCAGTGAGCAGAAAGAAGACTGCATATGGCAGTCTTTCTCGATCAACCTCGATTTTCACTGCAGAGTTTCATGCCATCCTTGAAGTAGTCAAGATGACTAGAGATCTTACAAATCATTCTGCTGTAATATATTGTGACTCTCGCAGTGCCTTGCAAGCAATCAAGAGATTAAACTCATCACATCTAATGGTGAGGGAGGTTCGAGATGGCTTGCACGGATGTCAGCACATAAATAGATAACTCTATGTTGGATGCCAGTATATGTTGGTATCAGTAGGAATGAACGAGCTGTCCGGAAGGCCAAGGCAGCTGCCACTCAGGCCTGTGATGCTCGTTTTCCTCTCCCACACACTGACTTGAAATCCCAATATCAGTAGTTGTCTTTGTGATAAATGGAGGGAACAATGGAGTCATACTACTAGAAACAAACTGCGAGAGATTAGAGATGACCTTGGCACTTGGGTGACCAGCATCCATCCCAACCGACAAGTAGAAGTTGCATTAAAAAGGCAGAGAATCGGCCACATAAGACTGACTCATGGGCCGATGGTGGCTAAAAGTGAAGCACGCTATGAGAAATGCCAAGAGCCATTAACGGTCGCACATGTGGTGGAAAGATGTGCAGCATTCTCAGACCAAAGACGAAGGTACTTGCTTCCCCCATATACACTGAGAAATGTATTGGGGGAGGATTGTGACACAGGTCTTATTAGTCAACTTTGCGAATCCTCTGTATTCATAATTCATATTGTCACGGCGACACACTCAGTACAATGAATGTGTGTAGGAAATCACTGTGTATTCCGTTAGGTCGGTTATGATTCTGAAAACCAAAAGGTTTTCGTAAACAAAGGAGAGGCGGAAATGGAACAGCAACCATAGATGTCTCCGCAAAAAAAAAAACGTGTTTAACTTAAGTTGAACAGAAAGAAAAAAATCACTGAACAGATACAAGTACAGTATAAGATAGAGCGTTGTAGGTAATGGTTGAGCATATATCCCCAATACATCGTATTCAAATAAACACAACCTATGAAGAAACACAACCTATGAAGCGGAAATTAAGCGACAAATAGAGAGCTGGGACGGAGTGCCCGCCAGAGTTAAACATTGCGAGCTTCTTTGCCACTTTTTCGAAAGAGAGAAATTTCTTTCCAATCCCATCATCGCGTCATAACATACGAATTAGAAACACGAGCTACTACCAAATTATTAAAAAGAAAAGTAGTGAATGCTTAGGGAGGAATAGATAGGCTGGTGATGGGAATCAGCCTTAGGGAAAGAATAATGGCAACGTGATTTAGGAAACAGCCCAAAGTCGAAAATAAATTTAGGAGCATTAAGAAGGTGAAATGGAGGTAGGCAGGTAATATATGTAAAAAGACAGGATGGCACGCACGCTGAGAAGGGGAACAGCTGACACAGGGAGGCCAAGGGCAAGACCAGTGACAAGAGGGTGCGATGAAATATTGAAAATCGTCAACCTGAGAACGCAAGATCGAGTGTGTGGGTGTGTGCAAGTATATGCATCTTTGTTTATATCTCACTATCTGTCCATCCACACACACACACACATATATACATATATATATATGTATGTATTTGTGTGTAAATATATATATATACATATGTATATGCACATGTGTGTGTGGGTTGTGTGCGTACACGAGTATTGTGTACATCATATTTTGATGAACTTTTTGCTAGTAATGAAAGGAATTGACCTTTATTTGGTCATATTAAAAAAAAAAAAAGTCCCTCCTGACTGAAAATGAAGTTTTTGTAAAGCCTACCAACAACCAGAATAATACCGTTAGAAGGTTCAATCATAAAATAACCAAAGACAATTTTCTCTTTATAATATAAAATAGGCCCTAAAAGTCAAAAAATGATGATTGTCGGTGTTGGTTAGCAACGATGAATCGAAGTGGAACGTTGCTCTTGTCCTTACCCGCGGCATGAATTTCCTGCATCACTTTGATTGCTCGTTCACAGCATTGGTTCCTGCGTGGGATATCAATTCTTGATGGCTCTTGCTTCCAATGTCTTCTGAGACACCCCAGTGCTGATTGGTAGGGTGCTAAAGCTTTCTCTAACTCAGCAAAGTCGGCTGAGTATGAAGGCAAGAAGTGCAAGGATGGCTCTTGAATTCCAGCGAGCATTGTTAATGTTGGGGATGTTTTTAAATTCCACCAATGGGAATCGACCACGTTCATCATGGAAGCGCATAACTCTTGTCAGGTGGTTGAGAAACCGCATATCATCTCTCCACCTTGACCGATCAGTAATCTCATCAGTTCCATTTGCAGATTTGGATTTCAATGTTTCAGATTGCGTACAAAGAAGTATTCAATGTTTGGGGTCCTTGTATTGACTCCGAGCTCCTGGTCCATCACTAAGCGTAGTATTCTGCCCTGAATTGTGGTGCCTGGTGGCCTCTGCTGGTGAACATTCTTTGAAGCCTCACCACAACTCCAGACTGCTTCCCAGCATTGACGCTGGTGGTGTCAGCTACAATCATGTCGATCACATCAGACATGCCATTTGCAATGCTTTCGGCCTTGCTGCCAGTGAGATCCAGCGCTGCTAGCTTGATCTCGGAGTCAGGATGGGATGGCTTTAGGCCAACAACATATCACTAGTTGAACAAAACAGATTTCCCCAATTCGACAGTCTACATGGCTTATATTGTGAAAGTGAAACTGTAACTCTAGGATTATGGGAAAGTTGTAGGCTGCAATATATCACTACTAAACGAGATATTTTCCCAAATTTACATAGCTTATAAAGTGAAAGCAAGAATAGAAACTAAAATTCCAGTATATTATGATGGCAGTACAACTTATCATTGATCCATTTTGAGTCAAACTGACTTGTAATGGCCTTTATGATAACTAGTATTTCATATTATGGGCTGCAATGTGTATTTAGTACTTTTTGTTTCGGGGGGACTTTTTGAAAATGTGTTGAAAATGGAGTTTGGCTTCTTCAATTATACCAAAAAGTTCATCCAATCATGATGCAGGACTTTGATTCTGGAAAAAAAGGTTAAAAAAGCCTTTGAAAAACAGAAAGAAAAAGGAAATATTTATTTCTCTTCTTTCAGGTCCGTGGTTCCCCTGCCAGGATGAAGATTTTGTGCAGCTACTTATTTTTTGCAATATGTTGCTGGCAAGGTGAGTGCACGATTTCCCAGCTTTTTAATTTCCTTTACTCATATTCACACCTATGTGTCTATGTCGCTGTGGATGTATGTTTACCGTCGTGAGAAAAATATATTGTATATTCGTTTTTTTTTTTATAAATAGATAAATTCTTTCCGTTTCTCTTTCTCTCTCTCTTTGTTATATGTTTCCTTCTGCCTTCCCCCTTCCTCTCTAACCCTTACTGTGATGGTAAATGCTTTTTCTCTCTGGCATTCCTTCTCTTTCTCTTATTCTCCTTTTCGCTCTCTCTCTCTCCCTCTCTCCCCTCCACCAATGAAAAGATAACTGCCCCATGCAACCTCTCTGGCCCTCCAGCACCGGCTGAGAGAGCCTTCTTCTTCCAGCCCAACAACGAACTCGTGACGACCTCCCTGGCGCTGCTGAAGCTGGACAGGGGCTCCGAAGTGATGAGTGAACTGACGGTGTGCACGTGGCTCAAGGTTCATCACTTCAGGGAGAACACCTACGTGTTCTCCTACGCGACCTCGAATCGAGACAACAACGAACTGAATATGGGGATAAGTGTGTTTGTTGTGGGGATGGATTGTGTGAATGTACGTTCTTGCGTGCTTACACATGCGGAGAAATTTACAAACACACACTGACACACATATACTCACGCACATAGACACACACACACAGACATACACACACACACAGACATACACACACACACGCAGTGAGAGAGAGAAAGAAAGAGAGAGGACAGAGAGGGCAGGCTTTTTTTTCTAATTGCACTAATTGACCATCTATAGTTGGTTTAAGATTGTCCTGCGTGAGGGTGACTCACATAGGTTTTGTCATAATTCACATAAAAACACACTGCATCTTTCACGTAACTTCACAAGCAGCAATTTTATTAGCGTTGAGGTATTTTTATAAATATAGAAGCTAATGGAATTCCATCAATGCTGGCTACTAATATAATTTGCCAAACAGTTGATAATATCATGTTAAGCGGTTTTGTAATGGCTTTTACTCTACTCAATATCTTGATTCATGTGATTTTTTAACTGCACATTTTGCTTGTTTTCATTGACGATAAAGATCATAACAGTCCTATTCAGATCTGTATTCTACAGGCCTTGTTTGCGAGTCAGCGAGCCCAGCTAAACATATTCCAACTGGACCCCACAGCTCCTAAAATCGTATACACTCTGCACACACATACGCATCCACTCACACTCACACCCATACTTACACTCATACATGCACATTCACACACTATCATTCTCATCATCACCATCATTACCTTATCCAGTTACCACATTCGCATTGAGGACAATTTCCTCCACCCATCTTTGTGGTTGTGTTCTTTCCCATCGTTGTCCTTTCCTTTTACTTAGATGTCACACACATATATACATATGTATGTGTGTGTATGCATATGTACATATGCAGTTTATATATATAGACATACCGATAAGTAGGTATATATGTGCATATATGTATATAGAGATTGACAGTTATAAACATTGAATATATATTTATCTATATGTGTATGTATATATACATACACAGACACACACATACACACACACACACACACACACACACACACACACACACACACACACACACATATATATATATATATATATATATATATATATATATTATATATATTGTGTGTGTGCGTGTGCACGCTTCAAACTCAAACATACAACATAAATACAGAGAGTAACGTACCCTCCCCCTTCCTCTCCCACCCTAATGATGCGCTGTTACACGAAATCACTTCGCATCAGCAAAGAGCTCACAGAGAGATTTTACGATAATGAAATTGATGGGAAGCGAGACGAGGGACGGAAAGGGCGCCCTGCTGAGTTTGATCATCTGTTCATGTTAGATTGCCAAAGTTAACAGTCTCGAAATAGAAATAGCTATATAAAAAAAAAGTTGTGGCCTGCGTTCAAGTTTCATTTATTTTCATTCGAATCTGTGTTTACATCATGTCATTGGATCTTCATTGTTTACTTGCTGTATTTTTTTCGTGATTTTCTTTTCAGCATATCAGGATAAACATTTATTTTGACAACTGAACATAAATTAAGATTTATAAAAAAGAACCAAGAATAAAAAAAGGAAATTTTAATTTATAGCTAACACTAATAACTTCACAGAACGACAAGTTACTAAGACCAACGTACTAAACTACCGACTTCCCTATTCCTCTCTACCATCTCTATCACAGGACCTAACGGCGTTTACCTGGCCGTGGATGGGAGGTACCGCAACAGCAAGATAAACCACATCTTCGTACCTGACGTGTGGTACCATTTCTGCTTCGTTGTGGCTCGCACGTCATGGGTTGTCTACGTCAATGGGTCAGTGTTTTTGTTTTCGTCTTGTCAGTTATTTTTCATGCTAAAAAAAGGTTTGTATCTGCGTATGTTTTGTGTATAGTAAACAGAACATTTGTGTAAATACCATGAATTAGTGTTGAATGTATTTCATATTATGTCCGAAGTTACAAGGTAAACGTAATTCTTTTCACAAAGAGAACATGATCAAACGCAAATTATACGTTTAATTTCGATGACCAACCTTTGGCATTAGCAATATACCGTTCACTACTCGACAGCAAAGATGGCAGACACATTACTTCATCAATCTAGCTAAAGGTATTAACATGTGTTCCCTTGAACCGTCTGAAATAGTCGTTAGCCCTGTCACTTATTAAGTGCAATTTAGTATGCCATCGTGTTAAAATAGCTCCGTAAGTTTTATTGATAACGCTTCGCTAAAGGAGACGATTTTCTGGGCCTCGATCTCTGGCCTCCTGAAAATAACCCGAGAAGCGGTTCTCAGCTTAGAGTTGCAAGGTGTTTTGTTATAAGATGGACATGTTCGAGCAGTCTGGTGATTACACTTACTAAAAGGCCTGTACAGACACGTACACACACACGCACACACACACACACATACACATACACACACACACACGCACACACACACATATACACACACACAAATGTATGTCAGTCAGATTCAGGCATGTTTAGACTCAAATTTAAATTTAACGTGAAAGAGACTTATCTGATGAATCCAAACTTTCACATCTATTTAGACCAGATATATTTGATGCTTTACTGCAGTTCCTTTACTGTTATTCCAGTAACTGAAGACATTACTTCTATGCCATATCATGTTGATTAATTCATCACAATGCCATAACATGTTAATTAAATCGTCGCAGTGCCATATGTTAACTAATTCATCACAATGCCATATCATGTTAATTCCCCACAACGCTATATCATATTAATTAATTCTTCATCCTTAACATCTCGTCCGGCCTATGGACCCACAGCAAACACGACCAGGAGGGAACTTTGGAAGAGAGAAGGATTTTTCTCAATGGATCGCTTGTCCTTGGCCAGGAGGCAGATCTACTCGAAGGAGGTTACCAAGAACAGCAGAGCTTCTCGGGTTTCATCACTGGATTTAAGTACGTGAGAGGGTATTCGCATATAATGAAAACTATCAAATTATTATTGTTATCATTATCAGATATTGCTTTATTATTATAATCATTATTATCATTATCGTTATAATCATTATTATTGTTATTGTTATCATTATTATTACCATCGTCATATCTATAATTATGATATTACTATTATTTTTATTATTATCATCATTATTACTATTTCTACTACTATTATGAATATTATTATTGTTGTTAATGTTGTTGTTGATATTGTTATTATTACTCCTACTACTATTATTAGCGTTACTATTATTACTCCCATTGCCATCACTATCATCCTTAATATCAATATTATCATGAAACTTATCACAGCTATATAACCTTTCTCCCGCTCGCTCAGCCTCTTCAGAAGGGCTCTGAAGCAGAACGAAGTGACGTCTTTAGCAACATGTGTTGAAGGCGCTGGCGAAGGTGACCTGGTGGGCTGGAGTTCCGCTCAGTGGATACTCAGTGGACCAGTGGAAGAGGTGGATGTGTCCAGGGTGGATTATTGTACGAAAAGGTGTGTGTTCCGTTGGGGATTAAGAGAGAAGGAAAGATCGAGTGACTTTATATGTATTTCTATTGCTGGCTTAATATTTCCTAGAGCTCTTTGATTTTCTTGCTAAAATAAACTTCCTAGAGGTTTTTGATTTTAATAAAATACATTTCCTATAGCTATTTGATTTTTGACTAAAATGTATGTCCTATACCTCTTTTAGTTTGTTTTTTTTTACTAAATTATATATCCTATATATTTTTTTTCTGACTGAAATATATTTCCTAGAGCTCGCAAAAACGTATTTCCCGAGAGACGAAGCCACTCTGACGCCATCCGCTGGTGCGAGAAATTAAAGGGCAAGATGGCTCTGCCGAAGGACGCCGATGAGAACGTTCGCCTGTATCACATCAGCGAACCTTTCGCGGGAGTGTGTCAGCCGCCCAACCACGCCAACGGCTTCCTGTGGATCGCAGCTACTGACAAAGGGGAAGAAGGGCACTGGACGGATTTTGAGGTTAGCAGGGTTTTTTTTTTAATGATATCACGATATCACTCACGACGACGGTGGAGATGACGTTGACGATCACGATCACGATATCACTCACGACGACGATGATACTAATAATGAATAACATACCAGTAACAATAGAAATAACGTTAGAACTCCCCCCCCTCCCCCCGCCCGCAGGGCCAGCCACTCAACTACAAGAACTTCAAAGGCACCTACAAATATTCGGATCTTGACTGTGCTTGCATGCTTGTTCCCCCTTACGTCGAGGAGTGGGACGACGTCAAGTGTGGTTCGCTCTACAAGTTCTGCGTTGCTTGCGAGGAAGACCAGGAGGCTCCTTCTGTGCTGAGGATGAGGGGGCTCTGTGAGCAGGACGAGAAGGCGGCCTGGTTCACCCTGCAGCAGCGGCGGGGCGAAAAGGTTCTCCTGAAGTGAGGTTTAAGGGATTTTGTTGATTGATTTGCTCTTTTGTTTATTCATTTGTATATGTATTTATTTTCTTATTAATTATTCACTTATGTATTCATCTACTTATCTATTACTGTTTCCATCACAACCACTATCTCGCTCTCTATTATCTTTCAATAATAGTTAAATTACAAGCCCTACGCTCTATTTCTTCAGAGGCTTCACAAAGTACCTGATCTACTTGGAAGAAGAGAGTAACAAGTGGCATTTATATAACATGTGGATAAACAGAACAGTAGCCACTCATAAAGTCCAGCCCGGAGTTTACCCTTTGGGCGTAAGAGAATGGGTTATAAATACCAGTTATCAAGTGTGTGACAAACCAGAAGGTAGGAAGTAAACAGGACTAGGGTTCTTGTTTGACTGATTGTTATACGTAACTGGAAGGATAAATCAGACACTAATTGTAAGCTATAGATTGATTTAGTAAATACGTTAACTTAGGAGAAATAAGTGTCAGTGCATACATCACACTATTCTTATGGTCTAACCACAAACACCTCGTTATCCTCGTCTAACTCATCCTTCACCTTACACTTAGGATCCCTCATAACTCTGGGTCTGTCTGCTTGCTACGACTGGGAATACAGCTGCAAAGACGGCACCTGCATCGACCTGGATCAGCGGTGCGACCTAAGAGTGGACTGCCCCGATAAGAGTGATGAGATCGGCTGCGATGAACTACTGTTACCCGAGGACTACCTCTCTCAGCGGACGCCTCCGGGGGGACATGTTGGGGGTCCGCTGGGAGTCAACTTGTCCATCAGTCTGCATGGCTTTTCGGAGGTTGTGGGCATGCACTGTTTTTGTTGTATTGTTTTTTTCTTTGTTTACTTTCATATTTTTTGTTATTATGCTCATTCAGGTAGTTTTTTAGCTATTCATGTATTTATTTGTTTCTTTATTTACTTTGTTGTTATTAAGGTTTAATACTTTTGGAAATAAGTTGGCTATATAGGTATGGTTTATTACTATTTTTACAGAAGATTGAATACAGAGAGAGAGAGAGAGCTAGAGCGAGAGAGAAAGAGAGAGAGAGAGCGGGAGAGAAAGAGAGGAGAATCATCGTTTTTTTTTTCGTTTTTTTTCGTTTTTTTATCCCGACTAATAGTATATTGATAAATTCTAACAGAGTATATCTATTTTTTGTTTTTGTTTTTCTGCTAAAGATCAATGTCAAAGATATGAAGTTGACGGTAGAATTCAACTTACTTCTATCATGGTACGACAGCCGGCTTCAATACCAGAACCTCAAAGAGCTGGCTGACATCAACTATATCAAGGTAATATGCACAAAAAATTACTTTCTTTTCATCGTAACACACATATTTTTATGTGTGTTTGCTGTATCTATGTATGTATATATGTAAGTGTATATACGTACATTCAAACACTGATTTTTTATTCACAAATCCTCGAAACAGCCATCTGCAGTCTGGAGTCCAACGATAGAGCTAACCAACGCTGACTTCCTGAGGGTTGACAAGACGTCCCAAGTGCTCACAGTGTCCAGGAACTCTAAACCGGAAAAGGACGACCAGAGTAGAGTTTGTTATGGTCAGCAAAAGCTGCTAGTGAATTACAGCAAAATAGAGATATACATAGAATTTACGTAGTCATAATTTGCTTTGTGATTCTGGTGAAGATATTATGGCAAGTCATTCATATGTTTTGCATTATGTGATAAATAAGGATCTTCCATGCCTTTTCTGCAAACAAGTGATGGGTGTATTTAATATTTGTCTTATTTATCTGTGAAATAAAATTTAGTATGCAAATTCTGTATTAGTTATTATCTGTAATTTGATATTTACGTAGATATTTTTCAAACCAAGATAAGATATATGAAGGTATGAAAAACCCTTTGGAACTGAGTCATAAGATGAACGCCCCCTTCGTATGCAACATGGACCTCAGGATGTTCCCCTTCGACACTCAACATTGCAAGTTGCTCCTCACCCTCACCTCCGCCAGGGTAGACTTCTTACACTGGAGACACCTCGAAGTCACTTATTTAGGCGAGGTAGATATTTACATTTTCATTTTTTGTTTTGACGTTTGTACATAAGAAACGAAACACTTAATTTTACTTATCATGTGCTTACTCACAACCCTAATCGAAACATAATCACAATGAAAACGATATCTGAAATATCTCTAAATAATTTAAAGAGAGACTCACGCCATTCACCCTACCTTTCCTTCCTCCCCTCCACCTACCCACCAACCCCTTCTCCATCATCCCAAGACCTTCCTGACGGAGTACAAAGTCGACAATATCACCATCCAGAAGTCTTCCATCCGAAACTACAGCGTGGCAGAAGTCGGGGTCACCCTCCACCGCCGCTTCTGGTCCTACGTCACTTCCGCCTACATCCCCACCGTCATGCTTATGCTAATTAGCTACGCCTCCCTCTTCTGCAAGCGAGAGAACGTTGAGCTGCGTGTTATAATGGCCCTGACGACGCTGCTGGTGCTCTACGCCCTCTACCAGCAGATCTCCGACGACCTCCCGAAGACGGCCTATATCAAAGCTATCGATGTCTGGTACTTCTTCGCCATCATGATGATGTTTACACAGGTGGGCTTGGGGGTGAGGAGGGCAGTGAAGACTCATGGTAATGGTAATGGTAATTTAAACACTACAGACAATTAGTAATATAAATGATGGTGATGTTGATGATGATAACAATTATAATGATGGTATCATTAATGGTAATAATGATAATGTATAATAATAGGGACGTCAATAATGATAATGGCAATCATCATCATCATAATAATGATGGATATGATGATGATGATAATAATAATAATAATAATAATAACAATAAAGATTATAATGATAATGATAATAATGACACCAGCAGTAATAGTGATAATAATGGTGATAGGATGATATTGATAATGATAATAATGATGCTGATTATGATGATAATAGTAATAACTATAATAGTAATGATGAAAAAATACACATTTCAGGTTATTTACCACATCTTCCTGGACCTGGACATAAGCCTAAGACGCAACCAAGGCGATGACCTAACGAAGGACCTGTGGAAAAACGACGGACGAAAAGCACGCATAGACTGGGCCTTCCGGGTGCTTTACTTTGTGGTCAAATTCATCTTCTTCCTCGCCTACGGGTGTGTGATCGTGGTGAATGTGGAATCGCGGGGTCGACAGTGAGGTAAAGAGGATGAGACAAAGTAGGGAGATTTGGATGAATTATATGTAAACACAGGGCGTTGTCGATGCGCTGGATGTATAATACAGTACAACCGCATCCTCCGCTGAAAGTTGGAAATGTTGAAGCGTAGATTATAGGATACTGCAGTTTGGATTTATTAAGTACTTTGGATGTCTGAGGGAGGTCTATAATAAGCTAGGTTTTTCTCTCTTTATCACCCTCTACCTCCCCCTCTTCAACATGTTTCAGTTACTCACAAACTGAGTAATAGATACCTTGGCTTAAAAAATAGAGCATGTACTTGTGATACTGTCTTTTGTACAAGAAAAATGTGTGAAAAGGATATGAAGCCGGTTCTTCAAAAATAATTTTAAAACTTATTCACAATTTGCCAAAGAAATGTTATACAAAAAAAATCCTTTACAAAAAGTTAAAACTAAAAGTGAAGTAGCATTCCCAGTGTTAAGAGGAGGGGTGTTTCCAAGTTTAAGACCAAAGGAACGGACACACGTAAAATAGAAATATAAGTGATGGACAGTCCCCACTTCAGCCACATGGATGAATTCTGATGATGACTGAGCCTGTTCCCCAGTACGGAATATAAACTAATAAAGGTACTGGGCATAAAACAGTCATTTTCCAAGAGTTAAAAATGAGCAAAGTAGCAAAGATCCCTAGATACCTTCTAATGCTGTGAGACAAAGAACACCAATTTTACAGAATTAGTGAAATTGTTCAAACATATCTTGGTATTTGGGACGTTGTCCTTCTTTATAATAAAAAAAAATGCAATTGATGCCTTGAAAAAAAATGAAGGAAAATGTACCACTATTTTTTCACTGCTAAATATTGTTAAAGACCATTAGCTATTTAGATATCCTGCATTCCCTAGGTGGTAAGTGAGAGGAATGACCACACACACATATATAAACATATATACATACATACATATATATATATATATATATGCATATATATATGTGCATATATATATGTGTGTGTGTGGGTCTGCATGTATATATGTGTATGTATATATATGTACACACATATACACATGCATATATAACTGCAAATATATACAAACTACAACCGTATACACAAGGGGTTAAGGGTTTAGTTTCTAGTTCCTTAGTCATTCTAGAACTATATTGTAATCAGGGCCATGAGTAGACTATGAAGCTTTGACTCCCTTTGTAAAACGAAAATAAAGGTCATACAAAACTTGAAAACGTTATTTTTTAACCAGTGGCACAAACAAACGAACGCCTCATGTGAGTGGAATACACAATTAATTAATGATTATATTATAACTCTTAATAACTGCTATCACCACTGTCATCATTATCATTATCATCGTTACCGTCATCATTGTTGTCGTGGTTATTATGATATTGTTACTACAACATCATTGCTGTTCATAACGATAACAAAATAATGATGATAATAGCATCAATTATATTAAAAATATAATAATCGTCATAATTACAAAAATGCCATTATCTTTACATGGACACATTGTAAGTAAAAGGGATTCTAAAAGTTTCGAATTGCTCTAATTTAGAAATGGAAATCGAATATTACCGGGTGAGTGGCCTCCTAACGACGGTTTAAAAATATATATATATTTAGAGCGTTAATTACATTGCTGTTAAACAGAACAGAGTAACGCATCATAACAAGCAATATATATATATATATATATATATATATATATATATATATATATATATATATATATATATATATATATATATATATACATATATTATATATATATATATATATATATATATATATATATATATATATATATATATATATATACATATATATGTATATATATATATATATATATATATATATATATATATATATATATATATATATATATATATATATGGAGTGAGCTATCGAAGATTCGTCCATTTAATATCAAGCTAGTATTTCGCTCGTTTAAAAGCATGTGTCTCGAAAACAGCGTTTATAAGCTGTATATTTATGAGTACCTTACATGGTTAAAATATTGTGTGATTTTTATAATTATTATTGTAATTATTATTTTCATTATTATTACTATTATTATCATTATTACTATTACTATTATTATCATCATTATTATCATTATC